CAAGTCCAGCAGCGATTTGCTGACCCCGGAGTGATGGAATTCTTGGTGAGCCTAAGGCACGGGAACGAGTTCATGTGCATTTCAGGGCGTCCCCAACCACTGCGCTACACGTGCCTCTTTAACAAAAATAGCGGTACGTTGAAACCGGAAGAATCTTAAGGTCGAAGAGATAAAGGCCATAAACTTTCTGTTAAAAATCAGACATCTCATGACGAGCAGTCTATGAAAATGCTTCCGGAACCGTTGGAAGATTATACAACTGAATTATTGTCATTCTAGAAAAGACACTTCGTGCAATGCAATGAATGATTCATCCTCAAATAAAGCTCTTCGGTGAACTTTAACGCACTACACAAATAGTTGAAGGACAGAGGCATGAAGGAAGATGACAAGCATAATTTAGTGGTAGAACAGTACTTCTCAAATAGAGAACAAATTGAGAAGAGCATAGAATGGACATTGGGTGATTCCGATCGAAGGCCTAGTTGGAATAGATAGTAACCGAATCGCATTAGGAGGGTTATAACCAGTGGTTTCGTGTTCAACGGTACAGATTCCCATCACCAGTCGAGAACTCATCATAAGCAACTATAAAAACCGGAAAAACAGGATAACGCGATCAAAATGGACGAGTTCGAGAACATTTGACCTTCCACCTAAGTCATCTACTCCGTATTTGATTCCAATTTCATGCTCTTCGTAAAATTGATAACTATGCAACGAACTTGAGAATATGGGTAGCGTCGTTCAAAGAGTCACTAATTAGAGCACGCTTAAAGCTAGACAACTAAACCAGATGAATGAAGGCAGTCACGTTCTCATATTATCCATCGGTCGAAAATCAGAGATTCCACAATAGATCACAATAAAAACCACAATATTGAAGATCGACATATATATACATGTAATATATATACATATATATACATAATATAATATATATATGCATAAGTACATATACGTATATATACGCAGTATATATCACCAAACGACATTTATGAGGAAAGGGAAATCCTTAAGCAGCTGCCGAAGCCAGACGTAAAAAGTTGGAGAACCTTCGTGGAGGACGGATGCGAGCAAACAAATCGGGTGAGTGAAGTGCTGGGATCTGCACAGTAGATGTGAAAGATGGATTGTACAAAGTACATATATATATATTTATAAGCATGTAAATTGATACCAGACTTGTCTTCGAGGATAGCAGGACTAGCTCGATACATCGGTAGGCTACCGCGAATCATTTTAGAAGCCAGATATGCATTCAATCACTTGCAAACGATGCTTAGTGAAGTCGAATGCGTGGCGCATCCCTTAGGGATTGATCAACGCCGAGCTTTATTCTTCTATATACATATGTACCTATATATGTACATATATAATATATATATATGATCTGTTCTTGCGTCCCGTCTACTGACTCGAGCGGACGTCAGTATAGTCTGCGTCGTCCTTCATTCTCTATCGCCTCTAAGAAGAACTCTCTCCAGAAACTACTCAACTACCATTTCTTTTCTTCTAGTTTCTTATGGATGGATACGGGTCGCCGATCCGACTGCTGTGTGCCTCACATCACATGGGACCCAGTCGCTAATGATTCATGCCCAGCAGTTGTCGTCAGGACGCATCACGTGTCCGCTCGGCTGGTTCTCAAAATTTGAACTTATACAGTGGCGTCTCCAATCACTCATCGTCATCGTTGGCGTGGAATGGAACTTCTAATTGCGTCCCTCACTAGTGTCATGCTGAATACTCCCAGCGTAGGTATCAACGTCATCAACGTCGGCAATGTGTTCGATTGCACTGAACAATCTGTCACCACGACTATGTAGTACCCAGGTTCCCCCTCGAGTACATTAATGCGGAAGAAATCCCAAGTAGATCCAGATGTTTGTTTTTTTTTTGCCCCTTTTGCATTCTACTCGGTGTTTCAGAATGTTACGCATGGCACTCTGTTCCTCCTCTCTAATCGATGGCTTCATCATTCATCATTTTCACTTTTCGACGTAAGTAGACAAGATTTCGGTTCTCGCTAATATTGATCATGTTGATGGTAAATTTTACATTAGAAATAAATCCGTGTAATATGAGCACCATCTTTCTGAGATTCACTTGAATACCTGTCCTTTTACAGGGTTTTCTCGAAGTCGACCAGCACTTGTTCCTCCCGGCTAGTGATTAAAGTTGTAAGAGCGATACAAGTAAGAAATGAAGTGGACGTCTCTATTAAATTTATTAAATTGAAACAAAGTGGCTTATTGTAATCCTGCGATGTTTCAATGAGTTCCTTTAGAATTGTTTTCGAATCTCTGCTTGTTCACATGGCTATCCTTCGATTAGTGTTCTATCAAACCAGTTGAGAACGACTCGACTGAAGAGTTCATAGACGACAGACAGCAGCCATTTTGGGCGACAAATGTGAAAGGTCTTCTTGTGAGAAGAACATAGTCTTGTGGTTTCCACTGACAGAGTTGAAACTTAACTGGCTCAGTGTAAAAAGCAGAGCCAGAGTGATGATGAGTGTTCGCGGTAGCATCTTCAGATATTTGAATCTAATTTTGTCCCGGTCACGTTTTGTAAGATTCGCCACCAACTAAATAGCACATCGCTTTTCGGAAAAAGCAGGTCGGGTGATATTTACATCCTCTCCGATTTCGTATGGCCGCAAAGCCACATGTTGAAGGCACCAGAGTCTAAACTGTGGTTGATTATGACTTTCGCCTTTCTGGAAACTGTAACTATTCCTCACAGGCGTCTCAGTCCTGCCATTCTGGTGTTGAGATTGATGAGCTTTCGACGAGTATTGCTAATGCCTTTCACGAAATCTGAATCTCAGCTATTATAGCTGCTCTTCTTTCTTTAAACTCTTCGTTTATTGCCTTTCATCATATCTCTGCAAATTTAGATGAGAGTCGATTATTCTCTTCGGCGATTCTGCCCTCGGACGTCGTCTCTGGAGATGGCGTCTGGGACGTCTGTCTTTTCTTTTCTTGAATTTTTCTGCTTTCTGTCCTTTCTACCAGGAAAGGAAGTTTGCGCAAAAGAAGCGATGACTTGATTTTGCCTGAAATTTTGGAGAAACGACGACTGCTTGGTCAAACCTTCGATTTACTATAATGTGCTTTACTTCATTATGATATCCTCTGCTGTAAGTGTAACCTTTGGAGTAAGGCTCATGTAATTGTGACTTACCGTGAATGGTCTTTATGATCATGCTAAACTCAGGTAGCCCCATTCCCTTAATTCATTCTAATTTTTGAGACCAGATGTGATGAAGTTCGGAGATTTTCCTGGATGCGATCTCGGCCTTGGAGTTGCCAGTGTCGACTTGAAGAAAAGGTTGGTCTTCTTTCTATAGCTTATCCGAATCTATGTAGAACATTTCTGCCTCGACTCCATTACAGCTTAGTGTTGCAGTGTGGACGACGAAGATTTTCAAAGCCGGTACTAATCCAAATTTGACCGTAAACTTGCGATTCGGGTTGCTAACTAGTGAATGTAATTTACGCTCATGACCAAACTCGCGTATATGCGGATACCAACGCTGGCAACTCCTGACACCACTATTGTCACATGTTCCGAAGAGCAGTTCTTTCTTGGTATCTTAAACGGAGTACTAGTCTCGCCGACCTCGATGACATAGCAATCAAACCTATTAGCTTGCATCACTAGGTACTCATTGCAAAATTCATTTGCCTACACTTCTTACAAGTACAAATCTTCACATAGACGAACACACTTGTGCAAACCTGTATTAATTCGTCTACGGAAAAGGTGCACGCTAACTAGACAACGCAGAAATACGTAGTTCTTAAATCTGCCCGCATGTTAGGGAAGAGCAAGATCGCTTTTAGTCCGCATTTAACCCACTGTCTGGGGACTCACCAGTAAGCAGGCAAAATCAGAATATGTGTTTACCTTTTGGGAAATTAGCAGCTACGCTAATATAAACGGTTTTAAAAACAATAAAAATACAAGGAACACAGGGAGTTTAGGATCGTTTCGCATATATCATATTTGCTTCAGCATAAATACACATTTTTACAGCATTGTGAGAAATATAACTTCAATTACGCTGGGATGCTTGCAAAACTCCGGACCGCAGGTGTCTGCGGTGGGGTACGAACGCATTTTTACCCTTTTCGGGTGCTAACGCGTTCACCACCACTCCATGCGGGTCCTTCGTTTTTGCAAATATCTCAGCATCACAGAAGTTATATTTTGCAACATACTTTGCTATTAAAAATAGTAGGCAGTAAATAATACGTTAAAATTATGAGTTTTTATCGTGATATATTCGAGTCAATAATTTTTTCAGTCATGGTAAATGACCGACGTTTCCTCCGTTTGAGCTCGATTTCGGTATAACTTAATGCCTTTTCGCAGATTGGTTCGCAGTATTTCTGGTCCCTAGAGTCGTAGATCCTAGAAGAAAAATCCAATGTTGCTGGTCGCTTTCATCAAGAGTGCTACTACATTCGTGTTTCACTTATAAACTCACTGACTAAATGAGTACTGATGTGGATTCCACAATGGGTGTGGGACCAGATTGGCGACGTCTCCATTGCAGACACGGTCCATATCCGATTAGTGCCAAACCCGGAAGAACAGCGGGGCTGCTCAGCATCGAATGTTTGTGAGAGCGTGGCGCCTCATGTATTTTTTCTTTGGTAAGCTTATAGCTTAAGCTTTGAGGAATAATGTTCGATCCCAACCAGTTTTTCTGTCAAAAAGACCAGGAAACGGTGATAACGATCTATTGTGTCATGGAAACTAATTAGAAGTAAATAAAGAAGTTGCAATTTATACGTAGAATTAACGAATCCGACACACATCAACAAAGTCCATGCGAAAGCATGGCATGGGAGAACAGAAGAGGAATCAAATGATAAAACAGGCGATATGAATCAAGCAAGGCATGGTTCACTGACGAACAAGGTGTTTCGTAGGAGTGAAATTCGGGCTGATCATTGATCGGCTGTGATATGTGTGATGACTATCGTTCATAGCTCATCCTTTTTTATGAGCTTCTCCAGTGTGATGTCGAAGTAAAGTCGTGCCTTTCCAGGAATCTGGGGTGGTCGTCCATCATCGCCATAACCTTAAAGAAGGTTCCGTAAAACAAAATGATGACTTAAAATAGACGAATTGATCAGAAGAACACTAAGATTTGACACAGCATGATTTAAAAAAACATATTACGACTGGGTCACTGAGAAGCGCACAGTAGAAGGAATTACTACACAATCGTAGTTCGTTTCTGATACAGTGCTCTTCCCAAAGGTTGAGCACCTTTCATAGGGACTCACCGTATTCCGAGGGAATGATCACTTTACGACGTTCACCTTCGCACATGCCAGTCATTGCGATATCCATGCCTTTGATCACTTTCTGAAAAATCCGCTTGATCATCGTACTTCGGTGGGAATTACGTGAACGATTACAATATTTTTACAACATAGCTATCCCGAAAACAGATATTGGATTTTTCTATTACTTTGCTATGTTTTTGCGATTAACACGAGTGATTGTAGGTAAATAACGGTATGGGTCCATGTCCTCGCCCAAATTATGGAATGAGTTGAGCACGCTCCACTAGTCTCGATGGTCTCCACCAGGGTGTGAGTCCATCGCGATGGGAACTGCGGAACATGCAGAGCATCACACTTCTCATATGATACATTCCATCCCTGTACCCAAACATCAATTAAAAACAGCTCGTAAAAGACATTATTTATGAGTCGTACTGCGGGCGAAATTACTTGATCAGTGAAAATCCTGCCATACTAATTATCGAATGTAAGAGAAACTATGACGATGTTTCTAATCAAAAGGTCCTTATTTCTTTAATAACTACGTTACTGACTCCTCTGTTAAGCTGGAAAATGAAAGGAGCATTGCGGGAAAACGACGAGTCCACAAATGTACCATCCTCGAGATGAAGGATGTATTGTTGGTGAATGGTGTCTCCAGTCTCCGCTTTGCGACATTTATCCTCGTCTATTTTGTGCGTCACCTAGAAGTTAGGGTAAACAATAATAAACCACGAAATAAGGCGCGAAGATGTTTGTTACAAACATATAGTAGAAAAAGAAAAGCTTTCCACACGTTAACTGCCCGAATGTGGGCAAAGAGGAAAATCTTCATGGACAGATTTCGTCCGACTGGCCCAGACACTTCCAGCACGATTCTTACCTCAAAAAGACGAGCGACTATGGACCATTGATTCGGATAATCGGCTCTGACGAAGAAGAAGACGTCGAAACATTAGCCGAATAAACATCTTTACCAACCTCGTGTTAGCCTAACAATCCAAAAAGGTGTTGATTATTAATGCAGAGGTTAGATGACGATCGATGTGAAGAATATTTCCTTCACGATTGGCAACGCATTAAGCGAAGGACAGTTGTGCGAACAAGGTTTCGAAACATGTTCAATACAGTGAACCACTTCCACTCAATAACAGAAATCAGTAAATATTTTCTTAAAGCAAATATTTAAACAAATAAAGTCAATAAAGCATCGCAAGAATAAAAGGGACCGCTTTGTCCCAAATTCACCGATTTGGACGAAAATTTCGATTACGATCAGATGGATGCGGTCACGGAAGCGGTCATGGAAACCCTGGATAGCAAGAGCGTCCTTATTCATCCACACAGCGATTGTTCATGAGTTCTGTGTCACACTATTATTAACTTAAGGAGAGGAGGCCAACAAGGCGACATTCATAGTCTAAATTCGTTACAACTACTCTTAAATATGCCATGTGAAAATCGAAATTGGATAAAATGGCAGCGAAAGTCGACGGCTGGCAACTGAACCGCCTTTTTTGATAAAGATGTTGTCCTTATAACGTTGGTGCGATTTCGATTACACTTGTGGAAAGAATGCTCTTTGCTTGGATCTCGAGAATGAGATGTTCATGAAAAACGGGGCCGTTTCGGTACCGCATTCACTTTGAGCGAGGTGAACATATCTGAAAGCTCCAGCTACCTGTATTGTAAGAGAGAAACCATCATTTTGAACGGAACGGAGTAATGAGAGAGGTACTTCAGAGAGTTCGTTGTTTGCATCGAATTGTCGAACACTAGTTGAGTCGGACACATGATGCGTGTGGCCTACGATGACGCCCGGTGGACAGAAGCCGTTGGCGACTAGATTCTCCGGGATGTCGGAACACGATAGAAAACACCGCCGACAGGAAGATCAGAATTCTTCACACACAACCATCAGAACACAGCGAGCTATTTCTTCGCGCGACATGAAAACTTTATTGGCGCCATTTCGAGTCACTTGACGATTAACGAGAGGACAGGTGACTACAAAATGTGATGTGCAAACAAATTTGTACATTGTGTACTGTTGTGTATAAGTGACACGAAATTTTTGTAAAAAAAGTACACGTACACGTATGTGCAGAGAACATCGAAGTATTTACAAATGCACATGGAAAATTCATAAATTACAGGTAAACATAAGCTGCATGTATGAGTATTTAGAAATACACATACGTATGCAACCACACATTATATGTATACATATATATATACATATATATATATTATAGCAGCCATCCCCGGAATAGTTACTATTTCTTTCCATTACTGCATGTTTCTGTAGTAAAGGTCAGATCTACTGTTTCTTAAGTTGCCTGGCAAATGTCGTAGTACGTAAATATTTTGATCCCATCCTAAGGAACTTCGTATAGAGAACTCCTCTATCAAAATTCTCTATCTACCTAGCAGACATTCAATGGATCGATGGTGACGGCCTTTGCCACAACACCACTAGACACAGCATCACGTGACCATCGGTCACACCACCGAGCATGTTGCTGGGTACGTCTCATTGCTTGGGGAATGGATCTCGCGACCTGGGTCTTGACCCTACCACCAACGACTCGCATAGACGTAGCCACGCCCGGGCTAGCACCGCCTTTTTTGGGCCTGGCAAGATCTTTTGGAGTCTTACATTCGACTTGATTGCCTTATTCTTACGCCAGTAATTCTTCGTATTTTTGTTGAGGAAACGTGAGGTGTTATTATTCTTTATTCACGAATAAGCGGACGCTTCGGCGGATTTCGCCTTCCTCAGAGTCTGAAAAGGTCAAGTTGATAGCAATCTACTCGGCCAGACACCTCCATAACCAAACAAAGAAACGCTAAACCAAGATTTCAGTCACATTGAACACAGCTTTGCACACTCAACGCTTTCTATGAGGTTTCCACTAAGTATGTTGCGTGAAGACAAACCGCACAGAAATCACAAGGAAGCATAATGTGCCCCTCCCATCAGAATAACAGATTTATATACTGTCCAATATCACGCGTGATAATGAGACATTCTTCCCTGCGGTTCATTTTCGGAATTCTGGAATTAATCCAGAATGCCTCGAGAGTTTTGAGCGCTTGTGTTCTTGATTCGTGTATGAGGATCGTGAAGCATACTTCAAAGTCCTCCCTGTTATGTCTCTGGGTCTTAATCGTGCCTAGTGGGGTATTTGGTAGACGTTTTCCGGCTAGGTGTTCTTTTATGCGGACACAGAGGGGCCTGCCCGTTTCGCCAATGTATTCGTCTCCGCACGTCTTACAGGAGATCAGATGAATTATACCCGAGCTCATGCAATCACCGTCTCTAGCACTGGGGCAAATTATGCAATTTTGAGTTTCACATAGACGGCGATAAAGGCGGTTACGAACTAGCTGGCGCTTAAGATTACTCGGTGGTATTTCAACTATGTTTACCGAATTCTCTAAACCCGCCCTTCTTAAGCAGCGTTTTATAGCTTACTTACATCATCTGAGATGAAGGGTAGGATAAACGGGGCCCTTCTATCGCTAGAGTTGTCGTTTAGAGGCCTACGATTTCCCTTACACCTATCCTGTGCGGTTGGTCTTCACGCGACATACTTAGTGGAAACCTCATAGAAAGCGGTGAGTGTGCAAAGCTGTGTTCAATGTGATTAAAATCTCGGTTTAGAGTTTCTTTGTTTGGTTGTGGTGTCTGGCCGAGTAGATTGCTATCAACTTGACCTTTCCAGGCTCTGAGGAAGGCGAAATCCTTCGAAACGTCAGCTTATTCGTGAATGAAGAATAATAACACCTCGCGTTTGCTCAACAAAAATACGAAGAATTACTTGATCAATGCCGAGGTTAATAGAAAGTCGGTCGTGGGAGTTCTTACGCCAGTATTCTTCTATCGTTGTTCCTGTTATATTGGTGTTGCCTTTACGTATATAAGGATTTAATCCTAAGTTTTGAGTGTCGAAAGGTGTTGCCCTGTGTCAACTACGAAAAGTCCCGCGTGCTGTCTTCTCACGAAGTCGAGCATTCTGCTTAAAGCTAGTGGTTATTTCGTGTCGAGAACTGACTCGAAGGCCTATATTCCGCTAGCAACTGCGATATATATATATACACACGAACGCATATACACACATCCTCCCAAAGGTTTATCGCGTTATCGTGGCTGTTATGTGTTCCTGGGTGTCGGGCTGCGATGTAAAGCGGGGAATTCATTCCCCGGCAGGGTTTAACGAGCTAAGAATCAGCTCGGCGCTTTCACCAGGAAGCGTAGCTAAGAGCAAACCAATGCCAGAATCCGTCACCGTCCTGGTATCAAATAAGTCGCATGGTGGCAACTCTTCCTCTGATCCATAAAGGCGGCGACTGCCTATAGTGGTGACGACCTAGGACAGACTTTGGCCTGGCTAACCCCGCTACTCCAGAGAACCACAGTGGCTAAACGAGCAAAACTCCAAAAAAGTGAGATTATGCTGGGGTCTGCACAACCAGTGAGGACGGCCATCCAAGGATCCAAGTAAGTAAGTATATATTGAGCTCTGACCAACAGCAAAAAGAAGCTGATGCTCAATATCGGCAATGAGTTCTATAGGTTTGTCAAATCAGTACTTCATCCTCAACAGCCAAGTACGCTATAAACTGACTAGTCCTAAAAGCTGTAGTACAAGCAGATCCAGAACGGTGCCAGCGAGTATGGGCACAAGTGGTGGGCGTGTCGTTGCATTCATTGCACTATCCTGTTCTCATTACTATTCAAAAATTCTTGTAAATCATTGACGCCGTTGAAATCTCAAACTAGCTTTCGAAGCTGACAGGCCATGACGTTCCTGTCAATGACTATCTCAAGAAGAATTCGGACGTAACTCTCGCCTTCCCGATATCTCTCTGTTCCCTGCCGTCCCTTCTCTCTAATGCGGTCATCGATTTGTCAGCAAAACGCCCAAAACTACGACCAGCGTAGTAGAGAAACGGCTGAAAGTAAGCAGATGTGGGTCAGAACAACAGTAAACAGATGTCCTCTCTTGGAATACTGTAGTGTCTTTCCTATGTTATTCAGGGAATAACTTGGGAAAAGAAGGAAAAAGTGTAAAATAGAAGTCACTTTGCGAGGAGGCTGAAAATGGTGTGGACAAAAGAGTTTCTTGTGTCTGCTGGGGAGATGTTATAGGAGGATAGCAGTCCACCTCATCACAAAGTAGCGCTCCATTGAGTATTCCAAGTCTTATCATACAACCTGAACTCGTAAGATGACAATTCGCTGAGCAATTCCTCATGGAACATTGATGAACGTGAAACTATCTTTTCCGTGTGTGTTGCAACATTGCGGACAAGACTTCATACAGTCGTTTGTAGAACGAAACTAGTATGGTTAAGCTGTCAACTGAATTTCAAAGCTAATTTTGTAAATTGGTCTTGAACATCGATCTGAAAACCTTTTCACCAGAACTATAATTGCCCAAAGGATGCGCACCTCGATGATGATTCCCTCGTCAGTCTCCCACTTCTTGCCAGGAACCGCTCTGAACAGATCCACCAGCTGCACAGTGTAGTACAACGTCTGGTCCTTCTCGATATTGTCCCTACAAACATCATACAGCAATGGGCTGGCTAGAAATTGAAGAGAAAGTAATTAAGTCACAAATTCATTCCTGGTGAAGACTCATTACTTCAGTATTCACAAATGTTCACTACCATTCAAAATGAGTCTTTCAATCAACAAACTGGCTACCTAAGATGTGAAAAAAACGGCCATGAAACCTCTCTGTTGTTTGCTTTATTGAATCTGATAAGAGAGAACACCTCTTTAAAACATCTCAGGTAAACCTCGTCGCTTACTGTAGCGGTCTAGAGAACATTCCACAATGAAAAGATACGATTTCAAGTTTTGCGAATGCCAGGACTAACGAACACTCCATGTTTTTTCAACTTCCCATTCTCTTAAGCGTAACACTGGTTTTTTGAAACAAGTTTTGATTTTGCTATCACGGTATTACCATTTGAGAAGAGGTTTCCATGGAAATGATTAAGTGTTGAATAAATAAGTCTGAGACTAGAGCGTATATCCTGGGTACAATTTAGCAAAGCCAAAATCTGTTCGTTCATGGAAGAATTTTGATGTTGACGCCACTAGGCTACTGGTGTTTCTGGCTTTACCTTCCTCGTCCAGAGTCACCGAAGCCAAGATGACCCGGTATGACGATTTTGCGTTTTTCACCAATGCACATGCCAGTCATGGCTCGATCCATCCCCGGAATCACTTGTCCTCTTCCTAACGTGAATGTGTATCTAAAGAAATATGATGGAGCGAGTTTTAATCAAGGGTGATTAACAAACTGAATTCTCCACAACTAACGGCTTTTTGCCGAAGTTACTTCCAATTTCTTTGCCATCTTTATTCGTCAGTCGATAGAACTGATCCAGGACATCACCCTCTTGTGACACGATTGTGCATTTCTCTTTTTTTATAGGCTTAATGATCTTGACCTCTAAGCCGTCATCGTCCTAAAATACAAAGGAAATTAGTATTCATTGCACGTTCTTGAAAACTACGGTAATATCCGGTTGAGGCTGTGACAGGTAATGCTGTGGTATTCCCCACTCAAGAAACTTTCTATTAATATTTCATTCCCGAAAGAACTGCAAGTGTGCTTGGTATGGCATACGAAATTCTCGATACTGTAAAAGATAACGTTAGCCATAATACTTCCAAATTAGACACATCAATGTATCTAGAATGGGGAATCTTACCAAATTCCAACATACGGCATGTTCACTTCCTTTATTGCCGATACACCCCACCAACCTTCCAGGAGAGCTTCTGCTCTTCGGATCTCACTAAACTGGCGACGCTGAGCAGAAGGATGACGATAAACATGTCTGGAAATTGAAAAATAGCTCAATTCGTGACGATCTGAAGAAATCAAACCATCAACTTGATGATTTCGAAGAGGGAAAGAAGGATGAACAAAGACTAAGTGAGGTTTCTCTCACATTTCGCTACATAAGAGGAATTATGCAATGAGCCGCGCGTCATACACGATGTGTATGAACAACGAGTTCTTTTGCAGTAAGCACATTATACTCTTGGATTTATGCTAAAAGTGGTTTTATTCAAAAGTTGGGGTCTCACGAGGAAGTGGATACGGCAAAGGATAAAATCCATAATATAGAATAGTTCCATCACTGACTGAAAAATCAGTAATGAGCTCAAAGGTAAGGGAGCTAAGGAAAGAAACAGAAATAGTTCTATTGGATGCAACACAAGCACAACAAGAATTACTCAGACATTCATGATGGCGATTTCTACGCGGCAAAAAGCAACATGGGGGGGGGGGGGGGGGGGGAAAACGATTTCCACTGGCGTTTCCACCTCCCACAATCCGGACTTTTGCGAGGTCATTGTGGCCCGCCCACAAGGTTAGAGATTGGAGATTAGCGTGAGGAAGATGGAAATGGAGTGTGACGCTCACATCTAGTTTGACCAGAATCTCTGGACGAAATGAGAGATGATGACCAGTACAGAGAGAAAGTTTCCGGCAATAACTCTAAGCCAGTCCACGTCGCTTTTGGAGCGCGATTTCACAAGATGCCAAAGAAGTTCATAAATGGCTTTCTCCCATAACCGCCAGAATGCAGTGAAAATTTGTCCACATGTCCCAATAGCGGTCGGTTTTTGAAATTCTTCAGCTCACTTAACAACTTCGTTACACAAATAGTGAGAATTTTCGAGGGAAATTTCCGTTGTAATGCGCGTATTCGAATGGTGAATGACGAGGGCAGGAAAGCACGAGAAACTTCCCGCGAGTTCTTCACACAAAATTTCGTAATGACAAGCGGTCTGACTTTTCCTTATTGTTTATTCACGACGGAAGAGCACTGGTATCATATAATCACTGATAAACGTGTTTTATTACAAATTTAAGCGTGAGGACACTCGTATCATGACAAGAGCTATGCAAGTTCGAAGGACCGAACCATCAACTACATCGTGCGTTTTGGAAAAAATCTGAAAACCACCGCGTGCAGCTTTCAGGGGCAATACGTTTAATCTCCACCAGTGCAAACGAACAAGGAATAGTCGAAAATGTGAGATCGCATCGTGTGTAAAGTGCGACTAAAACCACTGAGAGCAGTCGCGACGAGGGCAGAAACGGGTCAAGGGCGGTCCTACGAATTGGATAGCGTAACACACCGATTGGGATCAAATCAATTAGCGATCGATCCACGACGCACTGGATGACAAGATGATCGTCGACGGCCATCAGAGGTGTTGTTATATCGGAGCAGTTGTGTACAGCTTTCTAAGCACAAGCGGTGTTTGCCAACTGACTGTGATTACATAGTATCATTATCTGCGCTGAAGTTTAAAGCACAGTGGAAATCGTAGATTGGAATCGTTCTGAATTCGAACACATTCGAAAGATCGAGTATCCTACGAGTGGAGTGGAGTGGAGCACATTCGATCGGTTTTATGTTGTTCGAAGTAGTCGATGTTGATAAGAGCGCAGCTACTTACAGATCTTGCGCACCATTTTCTTCATTTCTTTGTATCTTCGTGCCACCGTTCAAATGAAAGTTACTATCTGAAATGTTCTCTGTTGCAGCGAAATTTCAGCACTTCAACTGCGCTCTAAGTGGACTCTATAGTACAACGCACGTTGTTCAATCTCACTCTATGGGAGCCATGAAAATGACTACAGAATTCTTGTGAAAATGAGGTGAAACGTCTTCTAGTGTTGGCGGGAACTACCGATGCTGGATTCCTTCAGAGACTGCAACTTCGAGAAGAACCGATGTGAGGGAGGTCGCCAGATGGACAACCTGTTTCCTGGCCGCATTACGTTTTCACTAATTTGGCACTCTTCTGTCGATAAATTTCATTCGCGCACTGTTCACTACTCGTTTTCATCACATTTTATTAATTTTGACGAGTCTCATGTGGCCGCATTTTCAAACTTTTCACCAGGTATGTGAGTATGGCCTAAATAGACTTAAAGTCCTGGAACAACAGAGTTCACTTGCTGTTCCTTGCGATTTCCGGAGGACATCCGGCTTGTCGGAACCTACATGAGTTTGTGAAATGCATTTAGTCGGATACTGGTGTTCAAAAGTGCCGAATAGTTCACCTAAGCCCAACTGAGTAATCTTCGACAACAGCTGAATCTCGACCGCTCTACTTATTTTTCCACTGATTCATTCTTATTAAATGTTATCGTCGTTAAAGGGTTAGTCTTAAAATCAACAGCAGTGTAACTGACGAAGAAAAAATCTTTTCATAGCGAGGTTCACGGGCCATATTTGAGCGTACCGATGTTAAAAAATCATATACGGTACTCCGAACAGATGAACAACAGCACGTTGAGGTAATACGTAACAGAACTATTTATTTATAACTGACTTCTTTTTCAGTCCGTGTACCGCTTGCCATTAGTGCCAATCAAGGACACCAGAGAAAAAAAGCATTCTCGTCATCACCTGCTGTTTTTGATTTGAAGTAACTGACGTTCTCCTTTTCCAATGTGGTTTTTCTTGTTAACCTTTCAGCTTTCTACTTTTTCCCACGCTAAGATATGTACTGTAGGTCAAAACTTACTTACCAGGCAAATGCGTGTCCAAACGAATCACTGCGATAGTGGTCATATCTAAGGACGTACAGCACCTGGTTTCCATACTTGTTGACAGTTCGCTCATTTTCACCTACACGCTAGCCAAACAGCATTTTTTCTTGTAAATTCGCCACTTTTGAACAGAGTTTCCTGAAGGCTTTCTTGCACTTTTTCCGCTTCGTATGCTTTACCACGTACCAATTAAACGATGCTGTTTGAAATTTCTTCCAAACAGACTTACAGAAAGCATGACGTTCAAGCAGTTGCAAAAATCACACAGGATTATATCATTGTTTCTGATTTTCTCGTTCACTCACAGTGCTCTCTCTTCAGCCGACACTGCAGCGAGGACGAAGACGAGTAAGACCTTCAGAAAGTATCAGCTTAGGCACAAGGATGTTAAGATATGAGCAAAACTAATAACAGCTTTGGAGTAAAAAACTGGCGGAAGGAAAGGAAAGCAACGGCACCAGTTGGTGTAGTGGACAGCACGTGGACCTCCTGAAAACGTAGTTGTTGGTTCTATGCCCATCCGAGGCCCCAAGTTTTGATTACACCTCAGCATCCTTGTGGTTTTATTTCACAGAGTACTGTGCCATGGAAGGAAGTATCCAGTTTAAGCTTAAACTTGCTCGAACAAAGTCAGCAGGTATACAGTGTGAATGTTGAATTTCTGAGAATTCTTTGGTTAGCAAAAACTTGTTGGAAAGCCTAAAAACTTTGAAAAAAAAAGGATTTCATCTCGCACTGCAAGAATTTGAGATTCGTTTTGCTTCCGTTTTTTTTTTTTCAACGATTCCGTTTAGGTAACGGATTCAAACTAAACTTAAAGGCCTGGATCAATGGTCCCATCCAAACCCTCAGAGAACGTCACAGTTTTGGCAAAGTGAATCACTTTTATTTGACATTAGTAATTTTATTCAGATCTCTTATTTACCATTTATCTTGATTCTCTTTGCTGATGCATTTAATAAAACTTATGGGAAAAAGACGAGATTTAAGCGATATAAACCTTTGTTTCATCGGCTAAGAGTGAAAGCCGTGAAGGAAGACCGACATGTAATCTACATTGAGAAGGACGCTTCACTGGAAGAAATAGTATCCGATAAGGTTAGGTTTAGACAAATAGTTTAATGGTTTAGCTCTATATTTAAACTTGGCTACATGTTCAATAGATCGAAAAATTCTGTGAATACCATTCCAGAGCCCATCACCTGAAGATGGCATTGTGAAAGGAAAGGAAAGCGACTTTGAAGAGGTGGAACTACGCGTGCCAGCACAGAAGACACATGGTTTTTCTCTGGACGCGGAAAATGAAGGGTCTGCTTTCGAAAACTACGATGACGAGGACTTTCCCCGATCTAGTGGCGAACTACCACCGAAGAGTATCTTTGCAACAATAAATCACACCGAAGAGGAGGCGGAACCAGTGAACAACTCGTATGGTGCGTAACTGAAATCAGAGTAGTAAGGCAGAGCGTCACCACAACTGAACGAAACGTAAATCATTGAACAAATTTTTGGTATAAGGAGTATGGGTAGTGAGGTACCAACTTACAGGTTTCATTCTTGCCACTTTTTGTTATAAAAAAAATAGCTTGTACGAAGGACTCAATTGGTCGACTCAGATCTTCACGAATGACAATGAGCTCTGGACGTTAGACCCAATGACTACAGACATGCCCGCCTAGCAAAGCAAAGCAAAAAGGTGCAAAATAGGAAAATTTAAAGTCACTAAATTTCGCTGAAATATGATGCTCCTGGAATGAGAAAATCTTCGAGTTCAAATACACCGGGAAAGTGCTACTTTGCGCTGAAACTTTGGAGTTCTTGGAGCCACCATCTGCATCTGACATTTGTGAGCGATTTCTTTGTAGACATGATGACCTTGCCTCCTCCACCACCACGACTGGACGTCGAGCATGCCTGGTTTGACACTGCCGTTCTGGAAAAGGAAATCATGATCAAAACAATGGTAGGAAGCTTATGTAAACTGAATGAAATTACTTTTTCTTCTTCTTTTTGCTTAAATCCAGTTAAGATGTACAAAGGAGTAAGCTAGACGTAATAGAGGCCTAATAAGGCGGATGCAGTATTTTTTGTATGACTCGACACCATATATAGTGCGGATCCGAGTACTTGTTCAACTCAATTCGTTTTCCCCTATCCAAAATTCTCGAAGACCTTCGGATTTTCAAACTGGGTTCGGCTTATGCTTGAAGATCCTGGCCCCTGAACTAATGCCTGAATCAAAGATTATCTGCGAAATTTTTTCACGTACAGGCTTTTTTATTTATGCTCATTCTTCAGAATTACTTTTCGTGATGAAAGCACTAGACTATTTCGAAAAAGCAAAATAAAATTGAACTCAGCCTTTCGTCCTCCATAATTTCGTTCATGTCTTCCATTCATTTCGTCATCATCTTACTTAAAAGTGATAGGGTTTATACACGGTTCCATCTTTGGCTTGTCGCCTACTCCGTTCATTGACATGTTGAAATCTGACTAGGCTCGATAAGTTTTCCGTAGAGTCTTCAGACAACTGTGCAAGATCGTTCTCACATCCACCATGGGTAGTAGCACAGAGTTGTGGATCCGAGGAAGATTTCCTGCCATGCGAATAGAATTTTTCGAAGACCGCTGCTACTCTTATGATTAGCCAATGTACAGACTGATGGTGGTGCAGCAAGCTAGAGCTTTCCTTTGCTCATAGATGAAAAAATTAGGCGGTTGAAAATTCACTGAAATGTGAGAATGTCTGAGGTGTAAGAAGATTTAAATAAAACTATTCGAATAATGCGAAGATTGGGTTATTCGATTAGCAATTAAACGCATAGCCGCAATTGTACAAACGCCTTTTTTAAAATTTCATTTGGCCCTTCTTCACGTCAACCGTGCGGATTTCAGCCCTTCTCACATTGGATTCGTTTCCTCGCATCCATCATTCACGAAGATCTTCCAACTTTTACATGTAGCTTCGATCGCTGCTTGAAGACTTCCATTTCATCTTGAATGTTGTACAGTGCTGGTCAAACAATTCTCCTTGGAGTCCTGAGATCGCGGGGCTGTAGCGCTCCCAAATGGAATGCAGAGAGTGATTTTTCCCAGAGAAGTCCAATACCAATTTTCCGACTGCGGTGGGATGAGAAGCTTGGTTGGACCGGAGCGGAATCGAAGTAGCACCAACCTCGTGATGACGGACAACGCTACCACTATGCTATCGCCCCTTACGTTATAATAAAAACATTACTGAAAAGTCTATATTAGGGCTTATTTAAGGACACAAACCTCGAAGCACTTAAGGAAAAACTCAAAAACACAACGAAACTTGAAGGGTCAACAGGAAACTGGCACAGGTAAGCTTCATTATTAGTGGAAACGTAGTTGAGGTTAGGTATAACAGGAGGAAAACATAAATAAATATTCAAAAGTACAAAAGAAGAGGTTATAGCTTGAAAAGTCTTAAGAGGTTTATCTCTTTATATGGAAAATGCATGTGTGCCACACGATGTTCAAATTGATTCTGTTTTCTCCAAGAAGGAAATGCAGGTCGATAGAACTAGCCGAGAGACAGAGCGAAGGACCCGCATGGTGTCGTAGTGAGCGCGTTGACTTCCGGAAAGGGTAATAGCGTGATCGTCTTCCCCGCAGACGCCTGCGGTCCGGAGTTTTGCAAATATCTCAGCACTATTGTGGTTTCATCACACGTAATACCCTGCTGTGAAAAATTGTAATAGGCAGTAAATAAAAAGCTAACATAGAAATGCAGGTAGTTTACGAGCAGAAGTAGTAGGGAAGGAATTTGAAGCAAGGAAACTATCCGCTGTGAGACGTTTGATAATAACAGATGCAATGAGATTGAGGAAAATAGACAACGCAGCTGAACGGTTAAAAAAGAATTCTTTTTTGCTTAAGAATTTAACAGTTACAAAGTTTCAGGGATTATGGAAGCAGTTACATTTTACCAGTTTTGTCGAGCGTTAACTACGACAACAATACGGTGCCGACAGCGTTTTCAGGTGAAGTGACATCTTTAGCTGGCTTGTGGATTTGAAGATTTCATTAAGATGTTCCTGTTATCGTTGTCGTCAAAATGAACGTTTTGTACTTGGCGAATTTCGACAGTGAGCTTATGGAGTACTCAATCGACGTGGAGATGCAGCTCAGTTGGTTCGATTTAAGGTAGCTTTGAAGAGTTAGGGCTTACATTGCCTTCATCTCACTCAAAAACACTTACTAACCTGGGGAGTGATACGCTACAAATATGTTTTCAGCAAAGAGATTTGCAGTTGTCTTCCTATTGTTTTGCAGTTATTTTCCACATAAGAAACTTCTTCTATCTTTTATATGATATAGTTCATAGCCCTGTCGCAAGAATCACAAGCCGCTCTTCTTCGCCATTCAACTCTGCGGCTACTTCCACCCGCTCAGTTCTGCAGCTCACCGTGTAGCTTAACTCCACAACTTAGTCCTGTTTTTCTGTTGTGCAGCTCGGTGGGTGAAACTCTCTACAGTATATCATTCTACTTCTGTTCAGCAAGCACGAGGTGCTATTTTATTTCTTTATTTACGCACAAGCTGACGTTTCGGCGGATTTCGCCTTCCTCAGAGCCTGGAAGGGTCAACTTGAGTCAGTCAGTCAGGGTCAGTCAGCTCTCTACAGTTGTTAAACCGACAGCGATATCCCAGAAGACGGCAGAATTTCGACAACGAGAAAAAGTAAAGTCGTTGATCTCCGAGCAAACAGTGCCTATGGAACTGCAAAAGCACTGTACGGAGACGTTGCCGTTTACAACTCATGAATTGAAGGGAATGGAAACAATTCTTTAACCTCCATAAGTAGCTTGGCGCTGTTGATGTTTAGTTTGTTGGAGTCCCTTATTATCTTCAGTTTGTTTGAGTCCCTTATTATCTTCCATGCACGTTCTTGATCCGAGTCCTCGATAGAAGACTTGATCATGCAAGTAAGAAGAATAAAGTAAGACGTCATCGGCCTGGCTGAGACGAGAAGACACCAGCCTTTGAACGCCGTCTATGACACCGGAGAAGAACTGTTCTTCGGAACATGCGACAGTAAAGGAGCCGGTGGCGTCGGCGTTCTCGTCAACACGAGTTTGTCCATGAACTTGTATTCATTTAAACAGCTTACAACCCGAATCGGACGTTTACAATCGAATAGACGAGGATCAGTTCCGGCTTTGACAATCTTCGTCGTTTACGCGCCGACATCAAACTATGACGAAGAAGAAGTCGAAGCGTTCTATACGGACTTGGAGAAGCTCTACAGAGAAGACCACTTATTCTTCAAAGTCATCATTGGAGATTTAAACGCGAGGATTGGACCAAAAAGAACGTCACATTTTGGGACCCACGGATTAGAATGGAACGAACAGGGTGAGCGGCTATTTGAGTTTATCATGACAACCAAGACAATAATCCATGGTAACTCGCAATTCCAGAAGCCTCATCCATCTGGGAGTGGGAGTCCCCCAATGGAGAGTACTATAACGAAGTAGACCACATCATAGTAAATTGAAGGTTTTGCCTAACCGATGTCGCTGTTGTCC